TTATGCAAGATTTTGATTCGTGCTGAATACAGTCGTTCGTATTTCGTCTTCCAATCAAGGAACTAATGGCTGAGCTGACAAGGAACCGTCTTCATAGTGGTCTCAGGCCTAATTACGATGAAAATATCTCTTCAACACTGATACGAGTTGTAACTTCTTTACGAAGTGCATTAAAGGCAGCGGCTCTTCAGAAGGACTAATAAATTTTCACCATGTGCAGGTTGAACGTACTTCGCTCAGCTTTAACCGCTTATTATCCCACATGGGTTTGGGAACAGCTTCTTCAGCGGGCTTCTTGAGCGTCTGGACTGTGTGCTGGGTGGGAGAAGTGGCATCCGCAACCCACTGATTTGAATTTATAGACAGCAAGGCCTGCCGCGAGCGAGAAAGGTGCGGCTGCGCCGTAAACTAAAATGGAAAAGCAGAACGGAAAGATAGAAAGCCAGTAAAATATTGCGGATGAGATACAGCTCCAAGACCAATTCAGTGTGGGTGGACTAGAATTCCTAACTTTGTTGCTCTGAAAGGTGTTGCTGAGTTCCGCCTTTTTGGTGCTGTTAGGGCGATGGTTCGTTATAGTCTGTTTTGCCCATTGCTACCCACCCGGCGTTAGCCTAGGAAGTGGCTGGAGTCGCCGTGTGTTGCACAAAGTCTATGACTAAACAACTGTATTCCCTAAAATCGGTCTCTTAGTTGTACGGCGCGGTAGACTAAGCTGGCAAGAACCTATCAAAGTCATGTAATTTTGAGAGCGGGGGTCTCAAACTGATGTCCGGAATGCCAGGGCATAAATATCCTATGCATATAAGTACTAATCGCAAAAGCATCCTACTCGGCTTCTCTGCGGAAACAAGCGACTACAAATTTTGCATTTGTTGTGGCTAAATCAGCCGGTCACATCATTACTCAAAATGATGCAAACTAGACCAGCTGAAATGGAGACCTGATTGAATAATCTAAATGATATCCGACTGTATGCCAGCAAGCCGTGCACTAACGACGTTGTTTGCTACAAACGCGACAGGAACAGCTGACACTCCTTGTCATGAGGTAGAATACGAAGTGACACAAACAGGTAAGTCCTGCCCGTGCCAACCTGTTACCGACGAAGTCGTGATGAAATTTAGAAGAGCTAACAGTTTGCACTCGTCGGAAGGCGGTTCGGGAACCCCTTCCAGTGACTCGGAAAAAAGGACGGCGGCCTCAATGCCTTACAGGAATGCATTACACCAGCAACCTCTAAAGGTGCTACTATCTCAGCAAACTCCAAAGCACGCTTCGGAGTAGCCGACTTCCGAAAAATTGTGTAAACCGGCCATCTGGCCTGTTAAGGGCAAACACTACAGGTATTCGTTTATAAGACTAAAAAAACTGGTGGCGCAACTGGGTTTGACCCTCCGCCGTGCACAGCCTCCGTGAATGCTACTTGAGACTGTGGGCACGAGGTCAGTATTTGTCGCTAACTTTCCGTGTTATATCCTCTTTCCAACCACTTCCATAACAGCTGAAGATGCAACTACAGAACGACGCCTAAACTACGCAACCACAAGGGTTACGGCTTAAATTAAACGAGGAGAGATTGAACTCCAGTCTGATTTTGGAAAAAACACCCGTTTATGACGTTTGAATGCATAGGGCATTACCTCGTCAACAGCCATTGGCGAATACACAATAAGGGGTATGAGCTGAAACAAACGAAGCTTACGCCGTCTTGTTTGTTCTCCTTTTCCATGAAGTCCGAGGGTGGAAACGGGACAGTCTGGCGGACCGAAACCGGGGCTGGTCTTTGAAAATTACTGGCGCTAAGCCTGGTCATGCCATCAGGAGAGATGGCTAAATAATCCAGAATAGTTTGCATCAAAAAGGGTACCCGATAAAGAGGTGTGCAAGATATGGAAAAATCAGGCAAAACATAGAGCTAAGGGTTTCATTCAAAAATAACCACCACCACCGGCGGCGATGACTGTCTGAAGGCAATTTTGTGGCATGATAGAACTATCGCGGCCGCTGGAATCGGAATCCCTTCAGGCAGTGAGATGTAATAGTCAATGCTGCAAACCCATCAGTTTAAAAGTGCAGTGGTGGAACGCTGTTATCAAGTGCTGTATTAAAAGCTGCCCCCTCTCTTCGAAATTCCGCAAAACGTCTGAAAGGCATCAACCATTCTGTTCACGCCATCACTGACCTAATTTTCCAGATACCGGTGCCGAGTCTGTATCTAAGTCCCGACTGTCTGACATCGTCCTAGCGTCGAGCTACGACATGAAATGCGTGTAACAAGTGAAATGGTCAGGCCAGTTGGTTTATCCGTCAAAGTTACAAAAACGAAATTACTCTGGACTGGCATTGAGGTAAAGGGACCCTAGGTGAGGAGGGACTCACTTAGAACACGACGTTACTGTTAAAAAGAATGCGAACGATGTGACCGCCCCGGTCTATGTCGTTCAAGTATTTTTTCCCATCTTGTCAAAGCATATATAGGCCCGACCTAAAAATGCATCAAAAGGCACTTCCGGAAGTTGACAAACAACTTATGAGACTAGGTTTATTAAGGCACGCCGAGAGGTGATAAAACAGAACTCTTCGGTGAGCCGCCCGGACATGCTCGCGCGAGCGCAAGTAACAACCAAGTAAACAATTGGCGCACACCTTGAGAGGTTGCTGGTGTAGTTCGTGCCTGGGGGACATCGAGGCGGCTGTCCTTCTTCGTAGAGTCCTTGGAAAGGGTTCGCGAACCGCCTTCCGAGGAGTGCAAGCTGCTGGCCTTTTTAAACTTCATCGCTACCATCTCAGCGAACTCCGCAGCCCGCTTCGGCTCAAAAAGCTTCTGAAAGAAGTCTTGGTAGCGTTGGAGCTGGTGGTTTTTGTCTGCAGCCTCTTTTTCAAACTGTAAAATGGAGGAGAAATAAAACGGGGCACAGAAGCAGACGACAGATGTAGACAACTTCTAACTGACCCTTTTGCACATCGCGTCCAGTCGGTCCACCTGTTCACGCAGACGCGCCCTATCCTTCTTGAGGTCGGCTATCTCAACGCCCAGATCATCTATGAAATCGCGCGTGTCGGCCAGTTTCTGTTCCTGGAAACAAAATTTGATACTGAAGTCAGGCGCAAAAAAGGAAATGCCGACAAATGCAAAGGCGGCTAGAATCTTCATTTTTGGTTCTTTTAGTCGATCATACCCTAGGCCCAGACTGAAATAACCTGAGTCACTTAGTCGAACGCTCCATCAGCTAAGCCAAGGGCCCACACCCCGCAAGGTGCCATCGAGAATATACAATCACAGAAGCGGCGCTCTATCAATCTGGTCGCCGGATGGAACAAACACAGTCGAAGGTGTCGACCATGTCGACATTACAAAGGCACCTTGGATCTATTTCGCTGGAGCGACTAGGACACGACGCATAGACAACGGCATAGAATCAGGCGAGCTTCCTAAGGAGGGGAGTGATGCAATGAATGTACCATTTGGCCTCTTCTTTTCCCGAGCTAACCACTGTAAACCTCCAGATTTAGAGTTAAGATAGTGAAAGACTGCGGATATTCACAAATTGCCCGTTATTTTTTGGGTTATTAACGACGAGCAGACTGATGGTCAGCGCACTACGATGAAGTTTCAAAAGGATTTTCCTAATGCCACCTGAGGACTTAATAAGTAATAATAGACTAAAGTGTGTAAAACACTACCACAGGCGAATCACTGCGCGACTACTTTAGACAGCAAGGCAACGAAAAAAACATGTAGAAGATCGAATAAATGCTTACTTGGAGCTCTAACAGCTTGTAAGGATTAGTGTTGGGGTCAAATTTATGATGGACATCGACTGGGTGCTCCGAAGGTCTCAGCCAACCGTACGTCTAAACAAGGAGAAAGAGGACAGGATAAAATGATCAAGAAGCATATGAATATGAAGTTGAAAAGGCACGCTCTGCAATAATAAGGTTGGTTGATAAATTATAGGTGCGTTCGGTCGTAGGGCAGTGGTCGAAAACTTTTGTGTCGCTAATTTAGTGAAATCAGTTAAGTAGGCGTACTGGCACCGACTGCGTTTGATGATACCGGCCAGCCAGTGTCAAGATGTAATGACCAGCAGGACGAAGTACTGCTGATGAATATGTCCGTCACCCTGGTTGTCGATGCTATGCTACAATATTGAGGGCCACAAGGAGTGTAAGCATCTGCTATGCCTAATCAGCAAACCATGGCTCCCGCAGCCCGGTGTGCGCTGGCAGTTCTCTGGCCCCGAGTTCCGCGCCGGTAGATACGCTTGCGTTCCTGCTGGGTATACAGGTCATGAGCATGGCTGTCTAGTCATCCTTGTCTTTCTAAACCGTTGTGGTGTTGTTGTTGGTTAAAATCCTGGTCATGTGTTTATAGTGGACCAGGGGGCGTGGCGGCAGGCCAAGGTGCGGGTCCGGCCGCGCCAGCCATCCGCGCGCTCTCTCGCCTCCGGTCTTCTTGACTATGTCTTGACACCAGACCCAGGTGAGGAGGATGAGGGAGTGCGGTAGATGCTGCGCAAGCCAACTCTCACTGTAGACTAATTCACGCGCAAGTCACCGTGCCTGCTCTACCTTGTTGTGGAGCACACGGTAGACATCGTCGGACACGACAGTCGAACCGTCACAGTACTGAGCTTCAACTCTGACCGGGAGACGGTGCTCTTCGTGATTAATGATCGTCAGCATATTATTCCATACAGGTCTAGGCAGTCGCTGCCAAATAGATGGAGTAAGGATGATGTCGCCTCCCGAATAGACCATGCGCACAGGATTTTCGCAAGCATTCGGTTGATATGGATCCACCACGATATCCCAATCACCACAAAGACTAGTGTGCACCGCATATCTGTCTGGTCTGCCTCTCGTGCAGAGGAACACTAAGGAATGCGTAGGGGCTCCAATACCGTAGGATCACCGGCAGGTCCTTTTTTCATAAATTCA